TGGCAGTCTGCTTCCATTAAAGATTACAGCCTTGGAAACTTTATGGGGCAGTTCTACTCTGTCCTACAGGGTTGCTATAAGTCGGAATCAACTCGATGGCAATGGGCTTGGTTTTTGGGACCTGAGAAGACTGGGCAGACACTACTCCTTTTGGTAACTTGGCTGTCTGCTACCTACTCCCCTGCAGGCCAGCCTGCTGGGTACCCTTCCATTGAGCCAGCTGGTCACACCTCCTGCCTGGAGGGCTGGGGGAGCTTAGGCATCATGTGCCTGGCTGACCTCTCCTTTTCTCCACAGAAGTGGCCACTCCTGCCTGCTGAGCCTGGAATAGCCAATCCATACCACCCCACACATCTGTCTCCATCCCAGTCCTAGTTTCTTACACCCAGTAGGCCTCTACTCCTGCAGATACCAGGCAGAACCAAATTCCTCTGACAGCAGCCTTACCCTCCAGGTCCATCCACCTCTCCCCTCCCTCACGTCAGGATCTATCTGAAATACAAACCTGAAGATGCTTCCTCCTGAATATAAGCCCCAGGCGTTGCCTGGTCGAGGCCACCACCCACCACCCCTTGGATATTTCCAGCCCAGACCCCCCCACCCCAAATTCTAGACATGAGTGACAAGCGACCCATGTGACACTTTCACTCTCTGAATCGCTAAGTCCAAACCCTAACTTCTAACACTTCCCCTGAAACCTGCTTCCTGCACCCTGCATCGACTTTCCCATCTGCATCCTTCCATATATTCAGCAAAACGAAACAAAGCAAAACAAATCGGGGTAGTCTTTCATTCCCTACTTTCTCTCACAGCCACACCTGATGGAGCAGAAAATTCTGTCTGCTCAGTTTATAAAATCTGTTGGAGATTTGACCCCTCCTCCCCCCTCTATAGGAGCGCTGGTGGCTCATCGGTTAAGCACTGGGCTGAAAATCAAAAGGTTGATGGTTCAAACCCAACCAGAGGCTCCACGGGAGAAAGACCTGGTGATCTGCTCCCATAAAGATTGTTGTTGTTAGGCTCTGACTCATAGCCACCTTACGTACAACAGAAGCAAATGCAGCCCAGTCCTATGCCATCCTCACAATTGTTGCTATGTTTGAGCCCACTGTTGCAGCCACTGTGTCAATCCATCTAGTTAAGGGTCTTCATCTTTTTCGATGACCCTCTGCTTTACCAAACATGATGTCCTTCTCCAGAGACTGGTTCCTCCTATAATCCTTAAAGATTACAGCCTAGAAAACCCTATGGGGGCAATTCTACAACGTCACATGGGGTCACTATGAGTCAGAATGGACTCGACAGCACAAGAACAACAACATGGGTTCTTGTCTTCATGACGGTGCGATTGCCAGGTCTTTTTCCCACAGAACTGCTGGGTGGGTTCCAATAGCCAACTCTTCGGTCAGCAGCTGAGCACTTAACCATTGAGCCACCAGGACTCTTTCTGTTAGCATGACAGCCAAGAAAACCCTATAGGGCAGTTCTACTCTGTCACATGAGTGGCTATGAGTCTGAATCGACTTAAAGGCAACCCAACAACAACCTTCCCCCTCTATTGCCACTACTATGGTCCAGTCCCCAGGACTCTTAATTAGTCTGTAGTCTTAGCCTTGGCACAGGTCTCCCTCCCTCCACCCTTATCATCTCCGACCCCTCTCCATCCCTTTTGCCCCCCACCCCCCAACAGCCTTTAAGAAACCTTGGGAAACACGGATCAAGTCCCTCCTATTTTCACAACCCTCCAAGGTCATCAGCGCCCTCAAAAGGAAAGTCCCGCTGCTCAGGCTGCCATTCTAGGAGGAATTCATCCTCTCACAATCTGTTCCTTGCAGACAGGAGACGGACTTCAGGTTTGGGATCGCCAAGCCTTTGCACGTGCTGGTCTTCCTAAAACATTCTAACACGCCGCATACCGCAGGCGGTCGGGAAGGGGGACCACCACCCACGAGCACTCCACTGTGCTGAGCACAAGGGGCTGAACAGAAGGGAGATGAGTCGGGGTTTCTCTTTCCGGGCTTTAGATTCGGAGGTGAGGGCAGGTGAGGGCCGGGGGAGCAGAGAACCCACCAGCGCCCACACCACCAACGCGGCCGCCGCCATAGGAGCCTGTCGACCGAGTAGGGCCGGAAGCGGAGGGTGACCAGGGCGAGACCCTCAGTCCCTCCGGCCTACGCCGCCGCTGACCCTCAGACCCGCCCCTATTGTAATGGGGACAACGCCTCCTTTCGCGCCTCCCGCTCCCATTACCTCAGGCCTGACCCAGAGCGATGGAGCTTCAGACGGCGCTCGCAAACTCGACAGAAGTCCAAATGTCGCCCCGATGACGACACTGGAAGTCCCAACCTGGCCGTTGTCGCACGCATGAAAAATCTTCATTGGTTGAGCCCGCTGCCGAGTAGCCATCGCCTTCTGGGTAATGTAGTTCTCATATGAGCGACTAATTTTGCAGAAGTGGATCCGAAAAACCCTTGCTGTGGAGTCCATTCCGACTCATGAGTTGCTCCATAAAGTTTTCTTGGCTTTAATCGTAATAGAAGGAGCCCTAGTGGCTTAATGGTTAAGTGCTAGGCTGCTAACCGAAAGTTCTGCGGTTTGAGCCCACTCAGAGGCTCTGCTCGATAAAAGACCAGGCAGTCTGCTTCTGTAAAGATTGCAGCCTAGGAAACCCCATCGGGCAGTTCAACTCTGTCATATAGGGTCTCTGTGAGTCGGAATCGACTTGACGGTATACAACAACAATAAATATTTGGGTGATTCTACTCTGTAACTCATGAGATCGCCATGAGTCAGAATCTTCTACACTGCAAGAAGTTTGCTTTTTTATTTTGGTTACAGACTACAGTACAGGACACTCCCAGGAAATATGGTCGCTACCCCTTTAAGAGGAAGCGAAGCCGCGCCTTGTTCTCAGAGAAAAAACATGCCGTTTCCCAACGCCTCCGCTAAACGCTTAGCGGTAGCTTTGGACCGGAGGGGCGCCCCACCTCACGGCCTACGGCACTGTGGGAACTACAGTACCCCGAACACTCTGCGCCGTGCTACCTGGTTGCGTTGGGCCACTGAAAGCTCTGGAAAGGCACATTTCCTTTCGTTCGGTAGACGTTAGGACTGGACCTCCGCTGCCCTCCTTGAATTGACGTTTTATTTAATTTTGGCTTAATCCAGTGTGTCAGACGCTCCAGATCGCTGTGTCCGACCCAAGGTGACAAGAGAGGGAAGACGCGAGAGGAGACGTTGTCCCCACTGCACAGAGGCGAGTCTGAGGCTCGGCGATCCCCGCCCTTGTCGCCCGTCCCCCTCACTCTCACCCCCACCCTCGATCCTAGGCCCGGATGGCGGCGGCAGCAGTAAGGGGCCCGGCGCAGGTGGGTACTGCGTCCCTCGGGTGCTTGCCCGCCCCTGCCCACACCTCGGAATCCAAAAGCTCGATTGAAGGGCTCTTGCTCATGTCACTGAAGCCCAGGCCCCTGTATCTAGGACAGTGTGACACTCGTGGGTGGGGTCCCCATTTCTGACAGCCGGTGGGACGAGGTGGGGAAGAACGTTACAGTCTGAGGGACCAGCGCGTGCAAAGGCTTGGAGGTGCGACACAACGGAAGAATTCGAGAGACCTGGGGTCCTTCTGGGGTCTGCAGGGAGCAGAGAGGGTGGCCTGGAATGGCAGCCTGCGCAGCTGGCCCTTCGTCCTGAGGGCGTTGGGACCATGGACAGTTGTGAACAGAGGAGGGACACGACTGGAGTTAGGGTTTTAAAAGTATCCCAGAGGCTGCTCTGGGCAGAATAGACTTTAGGGGAGGGCAGTGAAGAGGAGACAGTGAGGAACAGGAAGATGGATACCTAGCCCGGGGTAACAGCTGGTAAGAGGTGGCCCGGAAGACAGAGGCACAGAGGGTAGAGAGTCAGCCCAAAGTAGGTCATTTAGCTCCAGGGCAAAGCTGGAGTAGGGGATAGTGCTGAGCCTGTAGGGTTCCTCTGCAGTTGCTTACCTCTCACATCCTCCTTCTTCCCACAGGTCCGCATGAACTCAGAAGTAACTATGGATCCTAAACAGGTGAGGGGAGGATATCTGGACTCTGGGTCCCCAATCAGATGTTTTCCAGGACTGTGGTGTTCTGGAACGCTTTCCTGCTACTCATCCAGCTCTTATGTCTGGGGATGCTAGAGAAACTCTAAGCCCAAGGTCCTGAGTCCAGGCCAAGGGTTATAATGGAGGGGTTCCCACTTCTGCCAAACAATGGAATAAGATGTGGAAGGCTGTTCTAGGCACTGCAGCCAGCACGTGCAAATACTTGGAAGTGAGACTGAGAGGGCAATGTTTAAGAAACTGCAGGTCTCTATTTTGTCTGTAGGAAAGAAGAACAGGGGGCAGGCCTGAAATCACAGGCTGAGGAGCTGGGCCTCTATCCCGAGGGTGATGGGAGCCATGGGAGCTGTCGAGAAGAGGGTGGAGGTGATCTGACCGAGATCTTCACAGGCTCCCTTAACACGCTGTGTAGGGTGTGATGGGGGAGTGAAAGTGGAGGCCAGGAGACCAGGGAGGAGACCACTATGATATTCCAGGTGCATGGTGATAACAGAAAGCCCTGGTGGTGTAGTGGTGAAGCGTTCGGCTGTTAACTGAAAGGTCAGTGGTTCAAACCCACCAGCCACTCTGCGGAAGACAGATATGGCAGTCTGATCCCATAAAGATCACAGCCTTGGAAACCCTATGGGGCAGTTCTATTCTGTCCTATAGGGTTGCTTTGAGTCAGAATCAACTCAATGGTAACAGGTTCAGTTTGGTTTTGGTGATAATGGATGAACCAAAGCAGTGGGTGTGTAGGTAGGAGGAGCAATTGGATTCTGGATATGTTTTTTTTAAGGTAGGGCTGACTAGATTTTCTGATGAGAGAGAGAAAAGGGGAGGAGTCAGGGACAACCCCAAAGTTTTTGGCCTCATCAGCTGGAAGGGTAGACACTCTGTCAACTGAGAAGAGCAGTCAGTTGCAGCTTTGCATGTGGACGTGAGTTGATTTCTGGCCATGTGAAGAGTCTGGAATGTTCCAGAGAGTGCTGAGCAGAGGTGCCTGGGCTGATGGGCACGCAAGACTGGCATTCTGCAGAGGGGCTGAGGATGGAGACATTTAAAAGGTAGCAGATGTTAATTAGTAAAGAATGTCCACCTCAAGCATTGTGCTCTTCTAAGAACTATCTATGGAAGGTCATGGTGGTGTAGTGGTTAAGAGCTATGGCTGCTAACCAAAAGGTTGGCAGTTCAAATCCACCAGCTGCTCCTTGGAAACCCTATGGGGCAGTTCTACTCTGTCCTTATAGGGTTGCTATGAGTTGGAATCGATTTCTAGGTAGTGGGTTTGGTTTTCGGTTTTGGTATGTGACATCAAACTGACAATAGCAACTGGAAAGATTAGATAGTAACCTTAGGGGGCAGTGAGTTCATGTTAACGGGGGAGGAAAAATTGGGAAAAGGAGGGTGAGAATGGCTGCACAACTGGAAGAATGTAATCAATGTCACTGAATTGTACCTGTTGAAATTGTTGAATTGGTATATGTTTTGCTGTGTATATTCTCAACAACAACAACAAAAATTATAAATAAAATAAAAGGTAGCAGATGGTGTGTAGACTGGAGTTGAGGACCGGGAATCTGCACGTCATGGGGTCAGTACTATTAATGACCCAGGAAGGAGGCCACCAACCAAGTGGTGGTCCAGAGGTGTGAGGCAGGTGCCATCCAGAGAGTGGTGTGCACATTGAAAGGAGTGTGAACTGATAGCCCCAGGGCTCCAGGACTGAGGGCTTCAGGGAGAAAGGGGAGCCCAACTTTGGTTTTTTGGGAGGCACAGTCTTGGGGACTCTCAGGATATTAGCTGGCAGGAGACAGGTGGGAGCTTGCATGCCAGGCCAAGAGCTTAAATGGTGTCTGTCTGCCCACCTTCCTGTCCTTGCTGTGGGCTGACACAGTGATCAGTGGGACCATGAGGAGAGAGCGGGCACCAATGGCACCCAGGCCTGGATGCTTCTCAGAGTGAGGAGTTAAATAGGAGAGTGAGCAGGAGCTAGATGCAGGGGGCCTGGTCGTGGGTCCTTGGGAGACATGCTGCTCATGCATTTGGCTCTTTGCACTGTGGCAGGGGCAGGTGACCTTTAAGGACCTGTTCGTGTACTTCTCCCAGGATGAGTGGGGACTCCTTGATGAGGCTCAGAGACTCCTGTACCGTGATGTGATGCTCGACAACCTTGCTCTCATGGCCTCGTTGGGTAAGGCCCTCACACTCACCTCAGTGTCATGGACCAGGCTCTGTCCTTCCCCAGCCCCAAGGCCAGCTCTGGCCTTCCTACATCAGGACCATGAGCACTGCTTCCTTCCCCAACTCCCTGGAGGAGACATTGTGGATACGAGGGCTGAGCTGTGAGTACAGCCATCGCCTGTTCCTGTACAGCACCAAAGAGTTGCAGGGACAGAGTCAGGTGTCTTGCAGGAAGCCCAGTGGGTCACACCCTGCTTGCCTTCTCCCTGACTGGCTGCCTCTGTCCAGAGCCATGGCACTTCTGTGCCCCAGGTTCTGTCCCCAGCTAGCTGACATTTCCTATGTCAGGTACCTGCCAGGAACTCCAGGTACCAATATGGCCACTACTTTCTGGGACCACTGGACTACTCCTGCAAGACCCTCATCTGAGGCTGTAATGGTTGTTTTCTTCTCTGTGGGTGGGTCACCCAGACCATTGCTGGCCACTCACCTGTCCCGTCTCTTTCTTAGGACATTCACCTTCCATGTCGCAGGTGGTTGCCCCGCTGGAGCTGGGCAGGGAGCCCTGGGTCCCTGGCTGGGCAGACAGGACTCCAGCTGTGACACGAGAGGCTCAGCATGGGTTCAGCCCTGGTGAGTGGGGCTGGGGGAAGGTGTGAAGTACTTGAATTGAAAAGAATTTTCAGGTTGTACAGACCACATCGAGTGGAGCAAGGACAGTTTCTCCCATTCAAGTACATAAAGCCAAGAGAGGCTTCCAAATTATCAAAGTAGAACCAAACCAAACCTATTGCCGTAGAGTCGATTCCGACTCACAGCGACCCTATAGGACAGAATAGAACTGCTCTGCAAATCTTTACAGAAGCACACTGCCACATCTTTTTCCTGCGGAGTGGCTGGTGGGTTCAAACTGCCAACCTTTTGGTTAACAACTGAGCGCTTTAACCACTGCACCACCAGGGTAGGGCTGGACTCAAATCAGACCAGTAAACCTCTCTTGTGCCCACAGTTATTTTAGTGTCAACGCCACTGGCCACACTTCATTTTTACCTTTACTTTCCCATTTACACATTTGTCTTTTCTGCTCTGACCTTTGGCCTCTGGCTGTTCTCCACCTCCTGCCTCCATCTCTCACCTGTCCCTTTCCACTGCTCCCTCTGCAGTGCTCTCCGATATTGACCTAGATTACTGTGTCACAAGATGTGCACATAGCCCGAGTAGTGCTTTAGTACCAGCTGTTGTTGTTAGGTACCATTGAGTTGATTCTGACTCATAGGACAGAGTAGGACTGCCTCATAGGGTTTCCTAGGCTGTAATTTTTATGGGAGCAGACTGCCACATCTTTCTTCTGAGGAACCGCTGGATGGGTTTGAATTGCCAACCTTTCAGTTAGCCGCCGAGCTCTTAACCACTGCACCAGGGCTCCTTAAGTACCAGTGACTCAGTTGCAATTGGATTTTCCTGTCCCTGGACACACAAACCTGCAAAGGTTTGTAACCAGCAGCCAGGCCTGACTGCAACCTGTGTGTGGTTGACTTCATTGGAGGCACTGCCTCTCCTTCCTTTGTGTTTCCCACATTTGTATCCTCTCCCAGTTGAGGACTTCTCCATTTTGTGACCTCGTGTATGCCAACTACTGCATATTGTTGTTGTGTGCCGTCAAGTTGATTCCAACTCATAGCAACCCCATGTGATAGAGTAGAATTGCCCCATAGGGTTTCCTATGCAGTAACCTTTATAGGAGCAGATCACCATGTCTTTTCTCCTGCTGAGCTACTGGGTGGGTTCAAACCGCCAACATTTCAGTTAGTAGCTAAATGCTTATAGCATGAGCTCAGGCCCCTTGTCCTGTCAGCAGTCCTGTGAACTTGATCGTAGTTGTGTGAGACACACAGTTGAGATGGGCCTGCTCCTCCCAGTGTCAGCTTGAACTTCACCAGCATTTCTCTGCTTTCAGGTTGTTGGCATGGAGTGGAGGAGGAGGAGGTACCTTCTAAGCAGAGCGTTTCTGTAGAAGGAGTGTCGCAGGTCAGGACTCCACAGGCAGGTCCATCCAACCAGAAGGCCCCTTCCTGTGAGATTTGTGGCCCAGTCTTGAAGGACATTTTGCACCTGGCTGAGCAGCAGAGTACACACCCCATGCAGAAACCGTGCATGTGTATGGCATGTGGGAGACAATTTTGGATCAGCGCAAACCTTCCCCAGCACCAGAAGCAGCACAGTGGAGAGAAACCCTTCAGAAAGGATGACAGCAGCACCTTTCTTGTGAAGAGCTGCCGTATCCACCCATCAAAGACACTCGTTGTGTGGAAGGATGGTTGTAAGGACTTCCCAGCCAGCTCGAATATTTTCCAGCACCAGGCCCCTCAGAGTGAGTGGAAACCACGCAGTAACACCAAGCATGAGGAGACCTTCCCCACTGGACAAAAGCATTACCAGTGCAGCGAATGTGGGAAAGTCTTCAGCCGCAAAGACTCGCTTGTTCAACACCAGAGAGTCCACACTGGAGAAAGGCCTTATGAGTGTGGCGAATGTGGGAAAACCTTCAGCCGCAAACCTATACTTGCTCAGCACCAGCGGATTCACACTGGAGAAATGCCATATGAGTGTGGCATATGCGGGAAAGTTTTTAATCATAGCTCCAACCTCATTGTTCACCAGAGAGTCCACACGGGAGCCAGACCTTACAAGTGCAGCGAGTGTGGGAAAGCCTACAGCCACAAATCCACACTTGTACAGCACGAGAGTGTCCATACCGGAGAGAGGCCTTATGAGTGCAGCGAATGTGGGAAATACTTTGGTCACAAGTACAGACTCATTAAACATTGGAGTGTTCACACTGGGGCAAGGCCTTATGAGTGTATTGCATGTGGGAAGTTCTTTAGCCAAAGCTCTGACCTTATTGCCCACCAGAGAGTTCACAATGGTGAAAGGCCTTATGTGTGTGATGACTGTGGAAAAGCCTTTAGCCACAAACATGTACTCATTCAGCACCACAGAATTCACACTGGAGAAAAGCCGTTTAAGTGTAGTGAATGTGGAAAAGCCTTCAGGCAAAGGCCTTCCCTCATTCGGCACTGGAAAGTTCACACTGGAGAAAGGCTTTAGGAGTGCAGGGAATTTTCTGTCTCCTTATTCAACATCAAAGCTGACATCACAGAGAAGCTCTGAGAGGAGTCTTTGTGAGGGAGCCACCAGCCAGAAGTTGAACCTCATACACTTGAACACCCACCCTGGGAAGAGTCTTCTGAGTGCCAGGTATGTAGGAAGGTTTCTGGAGCTATGTTGCACTCTCAACCTGCCCATGGCTCTTCCCAGAATTATGTCACTGCCAGTGCCTATGGAAGAAGCCATCTACCCACTGGGAGGGTTCCGTGCATAGTTCACACCCATGTGCTCTGAAAGGCAGACCTCTGTGCTCTTCTTCCTTCCCTAGAGGGAATGATGAGTAGCCTGAGTCCATTCCCTCCTGATCCCTGACTGGTTTAAACATGGATGTGATCCAGTTTTGGGCAAGAGGACACACACTTTGTTCTTCTGGTGGCTTACAGAGAAGGTTTCCTTTCTTCAAGGACAGTGTTGATCTAATGTGGCACTCGTGATAGATATCTCCAGCCTCCAAGAATTGCCTGCCTCATGTTGTTCTGGTTTTGCAACAAATGCCTTAATTCTTAAATTACCCTTGATCTTGGGGGTTGTGCACTTTGTGGGTTGGGTTAAGAACAGCACTGGGTTCTGCCAGCATGAAGGGATGAGTTGTGGGAGCTCCAACTTCGTGTGTCTCCAAGATGATTGCAGGATGTCAGAGAACAACTCTTCAGTCTTATTTCAGCCTAGTTTCTAATGCTTACCAAGGTCCCCTAGGAAAGAATACTGGTCTATGTGGGCCTAATCTTGTGGCCTGTACACCAGGATTACTTGTATGACTGAGGTCACCCTGAGTAGTGTGTATTTGTTGTGACAACCTCTGGTGTATCTGGGAGCAACATGAATTGGATCCTTTGTTGCCTGGGGATGTTTCTTAGTCCCCAGCCCTCTTGAGAACTTGACACCACATTTATGTTTATTGACACTTGCTTTATGGGCCGTCTTGGTAAATATTCCATGTTCACTGGCTCTACCTTGCTTGGGGTTCGATAAGCATCTTGGATACATATCTTCTTATCTTTCACAATATCAGGAAAGTTTTCCGCCAACAAATCTTAAACAATTCTCTCTGTATTTTCTGTTATCCCCCCTGTTCTG